CATGTTGACTGGGCCTGATCACTCGGTTATAATTGGCCTCGGTCCATCGATCCAGCCTGTCCAGATCCCTCTGTAAAGCCTGCCTACCTTCAAGCAGATCAACACTCCTGCCCCACTTGGTGTTGTCTGCAAACCTACTGAGGGTGCACTTGATGTTCAATCATTGGTAATGATATTAAACAGAACTGGCTCCAATACTGAGCTTTGGTTGCTCTGTATGTGCTGTGTGACTGTGTTCAAGATTATCTGCTCCATAATCTTTCCAGGCACCAAGATCAGACTGACAGGCCTGTAGTTCCCCACATCCTCCTTATGGCCCTTCTTTTAGATGGGTGTCATATCTGATAACCTGCAGTCAACTGGGACCTCCCCAGTTAGTCAGGACTGCTGATAAATGATGGAAAGTGGCTTTGTGGGGCCTTATATTAGCTTTCCTTGGTGAGCACTTCTGCCAGCTTCCTCAGTACCCTTGGGTGGATCCCACCCAGCCCCATAGACCTGTGTGTGTCTAAGTGGTGTAGCAGGTCACTAACCATTTCCCCTTGGATTATGGGGCTTCATTCTGCTCCCCATCTTCTTCTTCCAGCTCAGGGGGCTGTGTACCCAGAGAACAACTGGTCTTACTATTAAAGACTGAGGCAAAGAAGGCATCAAGGACCTCAGCCTTTTCCTCATCCTTTGTCACTGCTTCCCCTCGCATCCAGTAAAGGATGGAGATTCTCCTTAGCCCTCCTTTTGTTGCTAATGTATTTACAGAAACATTCTTTATTGTCTTTTACGGCTGTAGCCAGATAAGTTTCTAGTTGGGCTTTGGCTCTTCTAATTTTCTCCCTGCATAACCTCACAACATCCTTGTAGTCATCCTGACTTGCCTGCCCCGTCTTCCAAAGGTCATAAACTCTCCAAAGGACCTTGCTAGCACACCTTCCCTCAAACTCTGTTGTGCTTCCTCCAGGCTTATCTCTAGTGAGCCTGTTTTTATCCCTTTCTCCCTTCAAATCTAGTTTATAGCTCTTTCAGTGAGCCCTGCTAACTCCTGTGTAAAGATCCTTTTCACCCTTTAAGACAGGCATACCCTGTCTGTTGGCAGCAGGCCTGGTGTTGTGTAAACCAATCCATGATCAAAAACCCCAAAATTCTGCCAGTGACACCAGGCTCAGAGCCAGATATTGATCTGCTGGCTCTTCTCATTTCTTCCTGCAGCTGGGAGTTCACTTTTCTTATGCCGGGAAGTGCTACAAAGTAGGTGATTTGAACAAAACCAGGATTATCAGACACAATCTGCATAAGAACAATGTGCTGTGGTCTTTCTGGTACTGAACTCGGCAGAAGTGTTTCTGTGGAGTTCCCAGCGGGGGTACTGCAGGACAAGGATTCTTTTGCTCTAAATCATTAGTTAATATACAAATTAAGGCATTGCTTTCTCAGGTATCTAAGCACTGTCTGTTAATATTTCAGTGACCATTTTACCAACCATCAGCATTGCAAAAAAAACAACCCCTAACTCTACCTGGCAAACAGCTGGCAGGTCTGGAAGCTGTGATGCTGATTAAACTGCTTTGGTTGAAGATTTGAAATCAAACACCAGATACCAAAACGTAAATGGTTCTGGATGCAAACGTATTTGTCTTTGAGCTACAACATGAGCGCACACAGGCTTTGACTTACTGTTGATGTTCTTGTTGCGGCTGGTCAGGAATATGCTGAATAACTTCATAAACCGTACTAAGCATATCCTGGCCTGGGACAAAGTCAGAGCCTGGAACAGATTGACTTGAAACCTAAAATTAGCAAAGAGTATTTCTACTGTAAGTAAAAATCGGAAAAAACACCACAAACCAACAGAAATTAAACTGATATGTAACCTCATTGTTTTAACTTTTCCCTATCAGTGGTTTCTGTGTGGTTTTAACAGTTCATTTCTATTAGTTTGAATAAGTTTTCATCACATTTATAGTAAGGCAAGCAATAGTTTTAAATTCAATTAGAATCTTCAGAGGATTTAGGATGCAGCCCTTGCATTTAATATAGCAAGTATTTTATATTAGTGTATCACAAGTCAAGGAAGCAACATTTAATAAAGAGAGAAGCAGAATGATAAGGAAAAAAGGAGAAAATATTCAGTGAAAGGGTTCAGCACAAAAGTCCTACCAGCAATGTCAGACTGGGAACTTCAAGGATTTTCCATAAATGAAGTAATAATGAAATTGTTCAATATGTTAAGTATACACATCTGCTCTTATGTCAACACAACACTTAGACTCCCCAACCATAAGGAATTCTCAGTCTTTCTGCCTATACCCAAACTCCAGATCTTCATTACCTCCACTTCCTTATTTTTCTTTTTTTCTGCTAACTAACTAAAGTGAATCAGTGGATCAAATGCTGGCTTTATCTGCAATCTGAGTAACAGAAACAGTGGAGTTTCTCCTGTTTCTTGAAATTTTACAGGAGACTAGAATAGATTTCACTGCTTGTACGTCCATTCTGCATACATATCAATATTAGGGCCGAGGGAGAAAATGGCATCCCAATAGTTAATTTTCTTTGTGCAGAACACAAGTGGTTCAGTGCTACCCATCTACCCAACACTGCTAATATTCTTTTAATATAGGGTAGCTGAACTGAGACTGTTGTCTTTAGAGCTGGGTTAGTTCCTTACTGCACCATGTTGATACAAGTACTAAACTAATAGTAACAAAAGAGTAAATACTGGGTAAACAGCAGCCATGAATATGGTGTCATACAGACATCTGTAAAAAGGAACAGAAGCAAACTGATCGAAGAATTCTAGTATAGATACAAGAACACCTTGAGAAATAGAAGAGAAACCATCAGTTTATGGTGTGAAATCACATACCCTAGAACCACTGGCAAGATCAGGAATAGCGACAAATTCATATATCCCAAAATCATCCAAAGCACTTTCATGTCCTAAAATTAGAACAAACAAACATGAAAAAGGTATTAAGATGTAATATGAACCTGGAAAATGATTACTGGAAGTAATTTGGCCTAATTTTTAGAACATCTGAATATTTATTGTTTGCTCTGCTTTAAACCGCTTCCCTGCAAGCTCCTAAACTGGCTCGGAGTGAGGCAGGGAAGATGCAGAGTTGGTGTGCAGAGTGTTTGACACCAACACCTGGGACCAAATGAAGAGTCTCTTGCTAACCTCAGTAACAGTTTTGGTAGAGCCATTGGGACTCTCTTTCCTGGAATTCTGAACAGACCAATTTACTTTAACTTCCCATAGAATCTCTATTCCCAGTCCATAAACTCAGCCCATCTACACTGTAGTGACGCAGTACCACCTGAATATTTTATAATGCTGAGAATAAAAAAGGGACATGATACTAATAGGTGCCACATTGTTAAACCAGTTGACAAATTGTATCTGGAACTTCAGATACAACTTGTAATTAGGGTGGGAGTCCCTTTCTCTACCCTCCCACTATCCAGATCTGAGACTCTTGGTTGTCTCTTGGGCATCACTTCATAGCAAAGGCTGCAGCATGAAAGACAATGCTGAGATTCTCTTCTCTGATACCACTTGCTGGGGTCAAGGACCCTCTGTGCTCAAGTGAATTTCTTTTACCTTCCTAAGCTTTGTATCCTTCCCTATCATCTTGCATCTAGCAGTTTATGGCCTGCTCTGATGCTTTGGTAGAAAGGAATGGGAAAAAAAGTGCTCCTTTGCCAAACGATGGCAAATTTTCAACCTCTCCTGCCCAGGATCATGTGGGAAGGATTTTGGAGGGAACAGAGGCAGTGAAAAAGATCCACATTGGGTCCTGATGACACAGAGAAAGGTAGTATAGAATATGGTAGATGCAAAAATATATATACTGTAATGTCATATTATTATCTCACAATTTTGGTATCAATTGGTGTCATGAACATTTAGAATTGTCATCCTCACATGGTGTATCACCTCTCACTGCTATCCCATAATAACAGGTATTTATTTCATATCGGTGAGAACAGCAGAATACGGGTAATTCTAATCCCAGAAAACTGAGATTAACAGCTGGAATTCAAGCCAACAGGATACATCCTGCTGTGAACTCCAGGCATGAGCTAAACCCAGGCTGACCTGTTGGCATTTTGGTTTATCTTAAGTAAGCTAACACAGAGGTTAAAACACACTTCTTTTCCTTTCCTTCTTTCTTTTTGTATGTGGAGATGCTAAATTTTTGCAGGAATGGATTTTGACCTTGTGCTTATATTTCTTTTATTAGCATTACCTGAAAATGTCTGCGCCTTTCTGTAATCAGCCTCTGGCCTACAAAACATAAACAGATTTTTCAGTTTGATGCCATAAGCCAAGGAAAGAAAATTAATATGATAAAATGCAATTTTCTTGATGGGAAGGACTTCAAGATATAAGAATCATTTATTTTCGTACCTGCTCTGCAGCTTCTTTTGTATCACTGAAAAGAAGGGAAAAAGAGAATTCATTCTTTTTGCTCTGATAGTCCAAAAGAAAAGCTATGGCAAGCTTAACTTTTACATACCTTTATGTGGCTGATACCTTTTCCATATGAATAAAAAGGCCATAGCTAGGATCAAAAATAACGAAATTCCTGTTATTACTGCAAGAGACGACAAAGTTTTTCCTTTCTGAGCCAGCTTTTCCAATCCTGTGACAAAGAAGATGAGTACTGTATTTAGTCTTTTGTTCTGTACAGTGTGCTACAATGAAAAATGCACCTTTTGAAATTCATCTGAAGCTAGTAAACCTGCATAGAGATACAACAAAGATAAAAAATGTGGCTTCTTGTGAACTGGTATTTTTTTTCACCCCCACAAAACTCCTGAACTGAAAAAGCAATGATATGCATATCAGAAATGATTCCAGAACAGATTGGTACCTAGAACTCAGTGAAGGTCAGTATATGTAATCCACAAATTACAGCATCACAAAAAGTAGATGAATATTCTAATTTTAGGCATAGAGACATGGAACTACCAAGAAATTAGGTGACAATTAGGTGAGCAGTTTGTGATAGATGGGAGCGAAGTCCTCCTAGCTGTAGGAGCTATAACGTAGGAGAGGATAACTGAATTATTGTATTTTTTTGAAAGATTTTCATATCACTGACAGCCTGATTGTTTATCAGATCCCATCAGAAGCCACTAAATTATTATTTTTTCCATTCATGTCTAAATACATCCGAAGTATTTAATTCTTTTGCTCAGATCTTTTGCTGAGACATGCATTAGCAGCAGTTTTCCAGCAGGATGTACTGATACAACACAAACACACAATGTATATAATTACATATACAAAAGCACGTGGAGTACATTTGCATGGAATTTGCAAAGACAGGAATGTCAAAGTTAGGAAATGCCAGGTATAGTTTCCTGTGCACCTTCAATTTCCTCCTTTTGCTCTGAATCATGCAGAATTCATGTAATTAAAGGACATGTAACAATCCATACAGATAAATTAATGCTGCATACTTGTCAGTGCCAGCTTTATTAATACAATTCAGATGTGTATTATTTAGCTGGATGTGTTTGACAAACCCCTGTGCAGAGAGCTAGCATTGGTTACATCTGCTTAGACCTCCATATAATTCACTGGCATTGTGATGGCTGTGTGTGCAGCCGTTATCACAAAGTCTAAATATGTGGATTTCAAACAGATGCAGCCTGAATATATGGGTAAATAAATCACTGCCATTTCACCAGATTTCTTTCATACTCCTTCAATATACTGCTTTCCTCAGGAAAAAACCCAAAACAACCAATCCAAATGCTGCAGAATCAGCTGAGTCCTAAAAAATGTTCTTTGAAAAGAGTAATTTCAAATTTAGATTCAATAAATCTTAACTCCACAGGCACACTGATGCAGAGAGCAAAGACGTGCTTTGTGTGCATTCAGCACACTCAAGTTGATTCAACTTGAGAACAGAGCAATGACTGATGCACATAATGAGATACCTCCTCTTTTAAAATCCAACTAGATTGGATAAAACTGGGCAACAGCTTTGTGAGTTATTGATATAATTGTAACTTATTGATGTAATTGTTTTCTTGATGACTTCTAGGATTAATGAGGCAGCTGTTCATAGCACCATGTAGTTGAGTTTCAGTTTCTTAGGTGGAGAAGTTGTGTAAGGTCGTCTGAAACATCAGAGTTCCTGTCGCCTCTGAAAATTGTGTTTCCAGTATTTTGAAAGGCACTGGACTGTATCAAGGATTACAGGGACAGGGAGAAGGGAAAAGGAATAATATTCATAGTATTTGTTTAGTATGTATAATCAGTTGCAACCAGAATTTAGCCTGAGCAGGATTTCTGCAGTTTAGCACTCTGTGTGAATACATACCTCTTAAGAGTCAATCAGTGCTGCATTGCATTGGATTACACCTGGATTTAGTGCTATATGAATAAATACTCATCAAGAAGAAAAAGGCTGTAGACAGGAAACTGGTTTTTTTAAGTTTTTAAAAACACGGGATAAAATGTTTTAAAGAGCTCTATTTAGCAAAATATTTGTAGTTAGGAAATGTCTGATTTTAAGTGCAACTAAACATGAAGCTGTGGAATTTTCCCTTCTTTTTGGCCTTTTAAATGAAATCTCAGCTGAATTTCTTAACACTTATTGATGAATATTCACATATATATCATCGCTTGTGTGAACTTCTTGGAGAAGTGTCGCTTATTTCTACTGACACACAGCTCTGGTTGCATTTTGCTTCACCACTAACCACAGTGTTTAGTTCCATCTTCCTTCTAGCATACTGAAAGCCATGGATTTGTGATGAATCCCTAAGTCAGCCTGAGCTATGGACATCTGCTCTCCTTGTTTATCTGACTAACAAATGGCTGAGCTCTTTGTTCTGCACAAGCAAAATTGCTTTGTTAAATGTTCTAAAAGGCAATTTATTCTATCCTGTTGAACATTAATAGCATACATTCCTTATCTGAAAATACTTGTATTGATCTGCATTAATAAGAGATATCGGACTTCCTCAATATCTTGTTCTTCGCTGTAAGCTTCTGGAGGTTTTCTGAAAAACGGCTTTGTTGCTGTTTAATGCAATCTGATATAGGAATGGAGTTTATAATGTATGAGAAATAAAGGTGTGTTTTCAGCACAACCTAGCAGTCAATCCATAGATTCATAAATAGGACAGGGAAATTTTTATGAACAGACTGTAATAAAACCATTCATCATCACAGCTTGCATTATTATCATACACTAAACTAATGTTCTTAATACCTAACCACATTGGAAAAATGTTGATGACCGTCATTGTTGCAAGTGTGTGCCTGGTTACTTTAGTCAGTGAGGTACACTTCAGACTGTCCCGTGTACTGGTCACCTCATGGCCCCAGGGCTCACAGCTCCTGAAAGCTGTGGGACAGTGAGCCTTGGACAAAATCTGTCTTAAGGGGAAAGGCATACCTTGGCATTCAGCAAATTTCCACATAATTCATCTTTACAAATTTTTAAAGGCAAAAAGTAGGAAACAGAGTAAGAGACATAATTCTGCCATGTTACTTGGTCATGATGAGGTTTCCTTCCTGAGGAAGTTATTCTGCTTAAGGGATAAAGTTCCAAATGGCCAAGTATATTTTAGTGTCAAACTCCCACAAAACTTCAGGATCTTAGTGAGTCTTGTCCCAAACCCTGTCACACTGAGAGTAAAACCTAGGTCCCACTGAATGGCCACTCTCCCCTTTACTACATTGTTACCAAGACCTCACTTCTGATACATATTCTCTGTCTAAGAATTATTTCCTTTTTCTGAGGTTGATGTCTGCTCAGACATCACAGTTACAGCAATGAATTTATGTTCTTACCTACAGAAGTAATGACGACCGTGAAGTGGGTTTCATCTCGTTTTCCAGTCACGTTGTTGAAAGCACGGCACATGTAATCTATTGTCTTCTGGGCCACTTCATCAGAAACAACTTCCAGATGGGGTCCATATTTGATTACATGAGTGGTATTGTCAGCCCTTTGAATCCACGAGTAGGTATTTGGTGGGTTTGAATCTGCCGAGCAGTCAAAGAGTATAACTTCCCCCATGTCAACTGTAAACACTGCCCCAATATTCAGACCTTTATCTGATTTAACTCTAAGTCCATAAGGTCCATCTGCATTGAAAAAAAAAGAAAACACGGTGGAAAAAATAAAATCAAAGAACATAACTAAACTTTAAATAAAAGTATATCTCTAAATGTAGAATTTTTAAGTTAAAGTGGCCTTTAGAATGGCTGACATTGGATTTAATTATTTCAATTAAAATGCTTTCAGTTCAATAATTTCATCTGTACGATTTTTATCTCAGACTGCACCCTCTTAATACTGATCTAATCACTGTTCAGGAAAAAAGCACAGATCTATACATTGTTCAGTATGAAAAAAAGAATGAAAACTGAAAAGAGTTGGAAAAGCTGTGAAGTAAAGAAGCAGGGCTTCTTCAGGGGCATATTTGACCCTTTCTACTTAAATGCCGAACTTATTGGTGCAAGTAATTTCTCTGCACATTTAAAAGTGAACGAACTAGCCTTGAACTATAGAAACTTTCACTGTAATACTTGGCAGAATAATAACTATTTGGGAACTATCATACAAGTATAATATAGAGTGGGATGTGCATTAGATAACACTAGAAATTAGAAGTTTTCCATAAATGACTGCTAAAATAAACTTCAACCTTCCTCCCACTTTACTAGGCTTTTGCTGTTTCAACATTTCTGTTTCTTTGAAGAGTAAGCCCTTGTGCTAAAAGCAAGCTGTGTTTCTGAATATAATTAGAAGACCCATATGTCATGTGTTTGTTATTCAGAAAATTGAGCAGATAAGTATTTTTAGGGTAATCTTCATAGGGAAATAGGAAGGGAAACAATATATTTAAATATTATAAGAATATTTCCCATGCTATTTTTAATAGATCATTTCAGATCACGTGGTTTTTATATCTTTACAGGGATCTATTTTTACAGGGATCTAAATATATAAATTAATGTAGAGAATATAAAAATCAAAATGTGCCTTCTTAAATTACATTTTCCAGTCAAAAGAGCTAATCATTTTAATGTTGCTAATTCCCTAAGGGCTTACATGCATAATCAAAAATTATAGACCCAATATTGACAGAAGCCAAAAGAAGAAAATATGCAGAATGAGCAGGAGACATCTTTTTGGTAGGATCCCTGAAGTTCAGTAAAGCTGCTGACAAGTGTCTCACACAGAATGGCATAGCAAAAAGGCAGATAAGCCCATTGTAGACAGTGCAATTAAGTAGTATTTCCACCTTCCTATGGTTGTCTGGAAGCATTAAGAAAATGAGGCTGGGTTTGTGTGTGAAATGCCCTGCTACATGAAGTGGCACACCGGCACGTTTCAGACTCTATTTCTTATCAGGAAATTGAGGCTGACATTAGATCTTCCTCTAACATGCATGCTTCTAGCTATTGTCTGTCTTTTTTTATAAAACTGATTTACTGATTTATTCTTCAAGAACACATAGGCAAAAAGCATGCAGCACCAAACTGGCCATTTTGTGTGCACCTCTGGGTTTTTTCTCCACTTGTGAAGGCTTAGACAAGAGAATATATTAACAGACTATCACACCATGACCTCAGTGTAGTCCACTTTTAACCAAATGTCCGTATTTCACAATGTTAACTTGTCGAACAGTTTATTTTCTCTACTTATTTCTCAGTGATAAGCTTTTTGCAGTTTCATTTTAAGGAAGGCCCAACATAGTACATAATATTTACTTGCGAAAAGCAATAGATTCACTTCAGCATGAATGAGTGTTGCTTCCACCTACATGGCAGGGGCAGCTCTGAAGCATCAAGACATTTTTTTAAACTCTAGATGATGGGTTGCTTCTTTACATACTCTGCAGTTCCCGAGTCATTTGCTTTCTGTATCCAAGAGTTGGCTGACCCTGTAATAATTTCTGGGAACTGCAGACGTATCACCACTACTTTGGCTTGGCTGACCTCACTCGGACCACATGCTTCTGTGGATGGTCCAGAACACCAGCCTCTCCACGGAAGCTTGCCCTTTACAGGTATTTACTTCCCCTTTTTCAGATGGGATAGGGATGTACTGAATTTTGACTTGTTCACAAAGGAAAGCAGAACCCCTCCTGCACTATTTATAGGCAGGAACACACTTTTTTACTTTTCAAAGCAATTCAGTGGTTCTTCCTATCCAATTCTTCTTTCTGGGAAGAATTAGCTTTTATTTTCACTAATAATATAACCTTTGATTTATGTAAACAGAGATAATCGGTAAGAATAGCTGACTGGTTTCTGTGAACCCTCACTATTGTAGATATTTGCCACAGTCTGCAAAAGAATCAGAATTGAGTTCTGCTTTTTTGTCAGTATCATAACAGAGCAGCATAGACAGATAACACTAACAACATAACTACACTTCTGTATGAAACCTGCAAATTGAAAGAAACCACTAAAAACCACTGATGCACACTGGCTGGCTGGGGAAGGATGTTTGAAAAAAACCCAAAGATTTTCTTTAGAAATAGTTAAATCTTGGCAGGGTCTGAAAAGTGGCATTCCTTGATGAAGTCAACACAAGCATTGGATAACCCTTCTGCTTCATCTGGGTCAGCCTTTTGCGTCTCCTGGGCATTGTATGTACATCATCGAGACCCTTAAACACAGAGTAGCTGAAGGATATACACAGTTCCAGGGCTGATTCTGAAAAGCAGGTAATTAACCATTTCCTCCCTAGGACTGAATATGTTCTAGCTTTGGGAAGTCCCAAGGAAGGAAATCCCACTTAGTCTGTTAAATTCAACTCCATCACCACAGTACAGCTCTTTCTGCTGCAGCCCCATGACAGCAACTTCGTCATCTTGAAATGATTTGTTTCTGTGTGATGCTACTGCAATAGCCATGTTCTGGGGTGCATGGTCATCAGAGTTAATGAGAAATGAAGAACAAAACACTTTTGATTCTCAGTAAAAAACCACAGTGACAGCCTTCATGGATCCCTCAGCTCTACTTCTCCTTTCCAGTACTGTTCTCAACAGAAATCTCCGTAAAGCCAGTTAACTAAATGACTTGTAAAATAATAAATCATCTGTTCTGAGCAACAATTTACTGCTCTGTGGGAATATTTCCAATTGCTCCTATCACCATGAGACTGATACAGTTTCCAAGCAGATGGCAGGTATTTACTGTGAGTGACCTTTTTATTTATCACCTCCAGCAACTCCCCCGCAGCAATGACATATGGCACACAGAGATCCCAGGGCCTGTTCTGGATTGTTATTGACAACTGGGAGCTGGGAGACAAACTACCTCTGAAGGCAGAGGTTGGACCAAATTACGTGACTTTGTCATGCTCAGGAAGTAAGACCCCAACTCCCATCACTAACTTGGATATGGATGGTAGCACAAGTATTGCAGACTTTCAGGATTGCATTGCTTCCTCTTCAGATTTTTTTCAAATTATAAATTATTCATAAAGCAAACCCTCAGTTCTGATGAAATAAAAAGTGCATTCTGAAAATGCAAATACTTGTAACAATATTTCCACCTGTAGAGAAAAACTGAATCTCAGAGTTTTTATATATACAGGTCTTTTGAGGTGTATATCACTCAGACAGCAAAAGGTTCCAGAAATGTAGACACTGAAGTAACTTTGAGATTTTAAAGTTTTGCTAAACGATGGCTCAAAAATAGATTTTCAGTTTAGAACTTGAATTTTTCAAATTTTCTGGAAAATTTAGGTAGTTGAGTGAGGAAGAAGGGAGGAAGCAGCACCAGAACTGAGACTGAAGGATACACACCTTGTCGGTGCAAGTGTCCCAGACAACCATCAGTGCAGTAAGTGCTCTGGAGCCAAAGAGCAAAACCACTAGTAGCAGTCCTTCAGCCTGGTACTTTCTGTACTTAGCTTTTTGATACTGTTTGCTGTCTCCATTTTAAACAATATTTTCATATATACTGATTATTTTTTTTTTCTTTCAGCCATATCTCTTCCAGATCTGAAGATGTCTGACGCTGAAGTTCTTGAAGTTCTTGTTTGAATTCTGCTGTTCGGACTTATCTTCACAACTACGTAACCCTGAGTAACTTTTTATTTTACTGTTGTACATTAGAGCTGTTACAAACAAGCTCATTTTTAATGTAAGCACACATATAACATTTACTCAACTGTTTTCTGCCTGTTTCCATAGTTAGAGGCACTCTTTCCAGCCAGTTCATTTGAACAAAGGTAATTATGAATATTTCATATACTCACAATATATGGTTGGTGCAATTATCTCACTTTCCATTGCACTAACAGGGTTAGATACGAGACAGCTGTAATTCCCAATGTCTTCTTTTACAACAGGAACAATTAGAAGTGTAGCATTGTTTGGTGAAAAGGTGTAATTAGGACCAGCATGGAGAGGCTTCCCATTTTTTATCCACTGGTAAACTACCCTTGTACCTTTACTCACAGTACATTTTAAGGTAATATTCCCTATGTACTCCACTACCCCTGAAGATGGTTCCGTATGTACAATTGGCTTTGTGACAGGAACTGTAAAATAAAGACATACAGAGTTGTAAAAGTGACGAGCCAGTATATTACAGTCTTCATTGTCAAGATGAAACAAATAGCAGTCATCATCCCCTCTGGAAAGTACTCAGACTTCAAATGTTATTTATTAAATGTGGTTAAAGGTTGAAAAAAGAAGGCCATATTTGCAGCTGGTGACTGTAAGAATTGTTCTAGTACTTAAATAAAACTAGGCTGTTAATATTACCGATAACAGGACAAAAGCTGCAGTCAGGTATACCATGGCCTCCAGCTTCTGCCTCATAAGCAGATGCCTGTGGCCATGGAAATCAAGACTGCAAAGTGTGAGATTGCCCACAGTGTGTGACATCCTCAGTATGGCTGCCTGCAGCTCTGCTGATAGTGGGCACTGCTGAAATACGCTGTCGATTCGGCCATGAGGATGTCTGCAAAGTGGGATGCATATGGGAGTTAAATGGCAGCTACAACTTTGTCATGTCAAGATGTCATTAATTTAATTATTACAAGCTTAACAGTTACAGGGCTCCATCCGTATAATCCATAAATTACAGGAGCCAATTGTCATTCTTTTAGATAATTCTTTTCTATTTTCTTTTAATTTCTTTTTCTATCCCCACTACAAGAAGCAGAGTACAAAGAGGAAACCTCAGTATTTTAGAACTTCTGATCTGGGCTTCTTTTACAAATACAGTGTCCCCAGCCAGTCACCAGTGTCAATGACTCCTCTTCGATAGTTACAGAAGGTAAAGTTGTTGATGGAAAATGACTATTTGAAAGTTAATGCATCCTTACGACTGATAGCACAGCAAAGCCTTATGAAACTTATTTTTTAGAAGTGTGTCTGATTTCATATTGATTATTTGCTTCTATAACACTTCAATTTTTTTATTTATGAAACTTTAGTCAATATATAGATTTTATTTAAAGATGACATTTTAACAATCCCTCCAGCAGCAGTAGAAAACAACATAATTGTTAGTATTTATTAATGTATATATTATTTAATCTACCTTTATGAACAAATTTAAATTATTAAAAATAAATTAAGTTTAATTTTATGATTAAATTTAATCATATATTTAAATGATTAAACTCTACACTAATCTAACTGGATACTAGAACTAGTACTTGAAAACTATTGCCATTTTATTTTCAAAATGAAGACACTATATTTTACTAACTTACCATCAACAGCTACTTGAATCTTTTGACTGGCAGCTATTGTCCCATTTCCACGGACATTGACTTTTACAATATAATTGCCCTCATCATTGATATGCAATGGATTGATCACCAAAGATGCATTTGGTGGCATGAGGGTAAACTTGTGCTGGTATTCCAAGTCTGGAACTACTGTTTGATTTACAGAGCCAAGCAAGTATTTTGGGTTACTCTGAGGCCTCTCAAAAAGCCAAATTATCTGAATCTCAGAAGCTGTAACGTTGAAATTGTAGTCAACAGTAAGATGGAGTGGTTGCCCCTCAATACCATGGATGGTATGAGATGGTACTGTCAACTTTAAGGCAGAACAAATACCTGCATAAAAATGAAAGAACAAACAAATAAACAAACTCAAAACACAAATGGAAACCCTGAAAAACTCAAATGAGAAATTCTCACGGAGAAAAAAACTCTCAAAGTTATAGCTTACACCTTTTTTTTTTAATGGTTATAACTCAGACTTAAAATAAGAAAGGGCAAACGCTCATTCACTTCGGTGAAGTTGGATTTAGCTACAGGGCTCCATCTTGAAAATATCTGAAAAGTCAAAGGAAGGATATTTGCGATTTCTTGTCAGAAGATCATTTACTGTTGAAAGTTTGACAAAAATGAGAAAATGCACATTTACTTTAAAATATTTTCCCTTTAAAATATTTCCAATTTCTAGGTCTTATACTGTATAACAGTCTTGGATTGCAAACTCAATTGTTAGGATTGTTCTTCTGGGTTGGTTTAGCTAGAGAAACATTTCTTAGTGTTACTTTGCCAGTTGTACTGAGAAACTGAAAATCTAACATGAAAATCTCCATGAATTTGCCTGATTAAAATTATATATAGTTATTGCTGACTGCAATACTAATGACGCAAGACTAAATTCAAGAAACATTACTAAGCTTGCAAAAGTCAAGTATTCCAATTTTAGGAAAGGGCAGAATTAAGGTTTGCTGTTGATACGTACAAAAGCGAAATTTTCAGCCACATGATTAATCCTGTTCTCCAAGAATCCTGCCTCCATTAGGGTGCAAAAAGGCCGCTCTCAGTTAATCATCGTCTTTCCCTTATATTATTTTTGAATAAATTTTCATTGTGTCAACCTGAGACATTTATAGAAAATTACTACAACATTACTCTTAGGACTGAGTGATTGATTTCCATGTGAACTTTTCCACAGCACTCACAAGTACAGCAATGGTGTAAAGTGCTGACAATAATGAATTGATTTCACAACATCATTATAATTGATATGACTTTACAGATGAGGAACTTAAGCCCAGAGTACATTAACAGCAAAAATACCCACTCCTTTTGGATGAGACAGCAAGGACTCGATTTTTCAAACTACATATAAACAGATTTTAGTATGTTCAAGATGCAACTCCTATTGACTTCAGTTGCATGGCTTTGAGTGCTCAGTATTGCTGAAAAGCACACTGCAAGTGCTAAGTCAAAACCCTAGAAAAAGAGCAACCTCTTATTAGTAAAAAATGTGATTTAGTAATCCATCTAACACTGCAGAAGAGCTCACTGGAAACAGAGAGAGAATGCACTGCCCAGGGCAACATGCAATTTCCCCATGCACCATCTACTCTTTTCCTGCTACTGAACATCTTTGGTTGGACCAGATGATCCTTCAGGTCCCTTCCAACCTGGTATGGTTCTTGACATGCTTCCCAGTACCTGTAACAAAAAAGGAACTCCCCAGTTGAAGTTCATATATCCTCTACCGGGAAAGGGGGGTGTGCAGGGAGCTATGTGCGAAAAATATGTGACTGTGCTATTCAAAATTAATGTAACGCAGAGATGACTTTGTTTCTTAAATTTCCTACTTTCACAGCATTTGTCTTTATGACAAAAATAAATTGTTAAAGGTTCATCTGTGTCTTACTTCCTTGGTTATATAGCAGGAAATGGTAAAAATATCAATTCAGTAGCATCATACAGTATTTGTGTATGTGTTTTGGGTTAACATCTTTGAATTTCACTGCACAGCTGTTTGCCACTTGAGCTAATCACAAAGAAAACTCACTGGGGATCAGAGTACAGACACAAAAATGGGGTGAGGGTAGCAGATGCAGCATGGCAATATGTAATGCCAGTAATTAATGTTACAAGTACTCTGGCAGGGCAGAAAGAGTGGCAGAGCAGAGATGGTGTGGGAGAGGACTGGCTTGTGGGTAGCCAGAAGTGTTGTCCATGCTGCTGAAGGCACCCACAAAACCATTTGTGGGATACTAACTGTATTTCAGGAAGAACCCCTATCGCTAAGAAATCTCTGGTCATACTCTGTCCTTTCAGGAACTCGTGAGTCTTATAGTCAATACAAAGCCAGCTACAAAGTCTGCTCCAAAAAAGTAATTTTATGCCTGGCTTCATTTTTCATAAAGCTGAGCAATACTATACTCAAATAGATTAGACAGCTCGCAGCGTTTCTGAGGGTATGGCAGGGAAACCAAAGGAAAATGAGGCAGAACATTATAGGGGTGATGTGTATAAAGACAGTGAAATCCTTTGACAGAAAGACCGACAAACCCACCTTCTCAGGGGCTAAAGAGGAGCGGGCAGAGGACTTCAGGTTGTACAGACACTGATGTGGAAAGGACGGTTGGGGGTCAGCTTGAGACAGGAGGAGAATGGGACAAAAAAGGAGGAAGAGTGGAGGAAAAATATGGAGAGGCTTAAGTGGAGGATGCAGAGAGCAGTTGTTTACATGCTTAACTTTTTCTAGATCAGAAAGAGCAGAAGCATATCAAGTTGAAGCCTACTTCCCCACTCCTTTGAAATAATATTTGTGGCCTTGTTCTTGCGATGTTTTCTAATGCTGCACAACTCTTTAGGAACTTGCTAGACTATGGTTAATGGGAGGTGAGTTTTGTTGGTTGTTGTAACATTTCTCAGAGGTGAATTCTCTCCCTGTGAACCTTACAATACAAATCAGATTTAAAAAGCTGTTGTCTATTTGAAAAAAAGAGCATAATTCTTCAGTAAAATCCTTCACAAAATATTTAATGTTGGAAATATATTTCATAGAACCCATTGAGTACATTTCAATTTTTAAATCTCCTTGAATGAAGTCAAAACCATCTCTCAGGCACTAGGAGACCTTAAAAGCTCTGTCCATATCCTTCCTCATTCTTTAGGCATGATATTGCTCAATTTTTGAGTTTATTTAGCTGTCAATAAGCGATTATGCTGTAGGACAAGCAGCCAGTAACAGCTGCAGTGTAATCATAAAATACATATAACAAAGAGTATTTCTCACAGATCTGTTTGTGCAGAAAGTAAGCAATAACCAAGCAGGTCTAGTGAGCACTGGGATAACTGGGACCACCAGTGTAGAAGGTACCACCATAATACAGTAAGATAATTGTGGCTGGAAAACTTAAAAAAAGTGGGAATAGAAACCGTAAATTAACTGTGTTCCACTTGATTCATGGGGAAAAGGGGCTCCATGTGACAGCTTGGAAAGCTTGGAAAGGCATTCTGAAGTTCTTTTAGCAAAGACCAGGGGTGGTGAGGTCTGAAGTGGTTTCCCCTGAAGTCTGCTCTGGAGTGACTTTGGGTGACTGAAGATTTTGCTGCTCCCACTGGGTCTGCTGGAGTGGTTTTGTGGAGTGCCATCAGCACGTGGGAGCTCCTCTGCAGGCAGAAGGGCGAGGGGCAGGGCAGGCTGAGGCTTAGAGAAGTTACTGGTGTTCTCTGAAGGCAAGGATTTACAGGAGCAACGCTGAGAGACTTCTGGCTCTAAGAGAGATCAAATCCTTTGCAGTCTGGAACATTCTTCACTGAAAGGGCTATCTTTTTCATCAAAAGGGCTATTTCTTCACCAAAAGGGTTGTCAAGCACTGGAACATGCTGCCCAGGGAAGTGGTTGAGTTGCCATCCCTGGAGGTATTTAAAAGATGTTTAGGTGTAGTGGTTAGGGATGTGGTTTGGTGGTGGACTAGGCAGTGCTAGGTTTATGGTTGGACTCGATGATCTTAAGAGTCTTTTTCAACCCAAGTGGCTCTATGATTCTATTCTATTCAACTAATTTTAATTTTAAATTAAAACTGAAGACAGTTATGACTAATCCTCGAATTAATGTTAATAGTGAAATCAAGCCAGTGTGCCAAACTGTTACTTCATTCTCATGAGGCATAGTTTCCATATAATTTAAGCCTATCTCTGTAGCTTTCTAAATATAATACACATTTCTCCCAGACAATGGAATTCTGAAAACTAGTTTTTGTTTAATGACCACAAGTGTTGTACCAAAATGACCTCCATTTGGAGCTCAGTGATCTGTGCTTTACTCCCATCTCTCATTTGCTCTCACTGGTATCGTTGCACATAAGCACAACAGAATCGTTGTTGACATAAAACAAGGGCTACAGCTTTAGTTTAAATAAAAACCTATGACATAACTTTTGAGTTTATGGCATAAACTGAAACCTGCTTAGCGAGGTTTTATCAACCTCTGAATTTAACATGCACATCTCCTTGTCAAAGTGAGTTTGGAGTCGCAGCTGCTTTTCATCAGTGTTCATTTAGCTCTTCAGATGTCCAAAAAGCCTGAACTTGGTGTAAAATGTCACTAGATCAGTGATAATAGTTTCTACACTTTTTGCAAATATGTTCATTTATGGGGAAAAAAAAAGAAAAAAAGAAAAAAAAAAGGACCAGGGAATCCACAATTCCTACACCTCCATTTATATCAGGAGACTTAGGCATACTCTTGCCTAATTTGGGATTTTTGCCCAAGAAGAAGTTCCACTGAGCTTTGTTATTGGACCTCATTTCAGCTTCTGAGGTCAGTGTCTTCGGTGGGCTTTGTGTCCTGCCCCCAGTGCACCTGATTCTTGTCATGATATAAAGTACAAGCTGCACATTTCCCATACGAGGAAATATGTGTATCTAAGGATGTACGATAAGACTTCCTCGTGAACAAACGTGCACTCTAAAGCACTCTGCTTGCATACCAGTATCTCTTGTAGGATTTTAATTAAAAGATGTCTAGTAAGGTTGTAATGTAGATAAAGTGCACATTCACTGTGTTTTTTATGAACCGAGGTTTTAAAGAAGAAATCAAATAATCTTCATATAAGACTGCAATTGTTACAAAGCCAAATCTCTCGACAGAGTATTTAGCTCAAACTCAAGGGTATTAGGTAACTGTACGTGAAGTTCACAAAGAAGATAAAAGAAAAATTGTCCTTACACATGAGTAAGTAGAGGATGCACTACACTTGCAATATTATATAGTCTCTGTTTATATTTACAAAAACAATTAAATACAGGAAAAAGTGAACTACAAGAGTTTGCAGAAATAGAAGTTTATCTAACATTTGATCACAGGATATTCCTGTCAAAGCACACAGAACATCTATTTTTTATCAAGTGCATGGATAACAAATGTATACTTATGAAAACTGCACCCAGATACCCAACAAATGTACTATTAATGGGAAGACATCCTTCAGTTGATTGAAAGCTTAATTTAGTTTTAATGCCAAGTGCATTTAAATATTACATATAAATTTTCCTTATGAACTGTAAGGCATCACAATGAACTGAAAAATAATCCATCAGCAATGTCTCAACATAATGCATTTTTAACGAGATATGTAACAGCTTCTGTATGAACTTTGGTTCAAAACCTGTCCAGCCTTACTTGTTAAAAAGAATGCTTAATGCATATATTAATATGTGACAATATATATGTAATCAATGCCCATGTTTTATATACAGATTATGTATAGCATTAATTTTTGTCAATTGCTAAAAGTTTATAGCTACACTCATAAAACAAGGTGACACTATGTAATTAAAAGTTTTTAGGCTACTTTCTTGAAATAAAAAACATCTGACAATACAACAGGAATATCTTTAAATTTTTGAGTATAAAACCAACCCACATTTCCACAGTGGCAATCGAATATAATTCATACTGTTTCTTACCTACAAGCAGAAAATATAATTTGCACTGTAAGTCCCAAAAGAAGTTGGCTAAATTGCTCCATGAAATCATCCTGTCCCCCACAAATGCCACTTTCTTCTCAGTGCTAAGCCAGGGCTTGGACCTGCAGCTGCTGGTTTATTTGCCAGGGAAATCAGCAATGAGTTAACAGGCCCTATCCTGTCCCCTGCCTTGTGTGATTTGAATATGTGTATACAAAGAACAAAGGGAGTGGAGCACCTGTTAGATGAGCACCCATCTTCATTGCCTCTGACTTTATGGTAACCCTTCTCCAGCAGCCACAGCAAATATGACACAGAACGTAATAAATGAGCCGCAGAATATGAAGTACGTTGAATTAATACAAATAAGTGAATGCACCCAATGTACAGGTTACATAGGTATTAACATCCTTCAGTTACAGTTTCATAAAAAATACCATGCTGCTAGATGGTTCTGCTTCCTTCAAAATAGTATTCAGATTTTCTTCAGATCTTTTGCTGTGACAGCCTCCCTTTTTCTGTTATAAAAATACTACAAAGCCTTACTTAAATTATTTCTAGTACTTTCTAGCTTGTAACTGTATTTTTTTTCCTGAAGTGTAACTTGGCAATGATTTTGTTCCCTTTCTCACCTCTTACAAGGTGTAATGTGAAGTGTCTATCAGGCATCTTCTAACAGAGAATCCTGTGGCTAGAGTGGACAGCTTACTACAGTTGTTGAGAGGCTGATCGCTGTTTATCCTGCATTAACTTACATGGGTTTAAATTAGTATTAATATTAACGTATGGTTTGGATTTTGTCCAAGGCTGTCACTCACTGCACAAATCTAATCAGCGGCAAACCAGGCAACCTCCCATAGTTGCATGTGCAGTAACAGGTTGCAGCAGCAAATATTAGCATCCACAGGGATGGTTTATCCATAAAAAACACACTAAATTTTTACTGTACAGCACTTAGGCAGACTATTATGGATTAATAAATATTGGGCTAGACTGTATCCTGCCTTGTGCAGGAGGGACTGGTAGCAAGGCATCACCTCCCCCTCACTCCAAGGGTCTTGCAAGGTGCTAAGCCCCCACCAGAAGTGCTGAATGCTCAATTTTAACTTACATTAAAGAGAGGTGAGAAAAACCAGATCCTTCCAGAATTCTCAGCAGCAATGTACAATCAAATGTAAGAAACATACCCAAATACTCCCTGAGCCTACTGTCCTGCCCCTCCTGAATGCTGCTGTTCATAACCTGCTTAATCCACTTAAACTGTAGGCTAGATATCTCAAAATGCAACCTTTTATAGGCATTTAAAGGCATATAACCTTTACCTACTTGTTTTCAGTATGTAATAAAATACTGGTCACAGGTTCCAATTAATTTCTAACTGATATTATGAGAGTTTTCACATTGGAATAAAGCCTGTGTTGGCATTTTAAATACCTTATGTAAGCAAATAAAATAATTAAAAAAGAGAACCAATTACTATATTTTTCATGTGTGTCCCCTTATTTCCAGCATTTGGATATGCTCTTGATGTCATCAATATTCTGCAAGTTTTTACAGAGAAACTCACACAAATAAAGCAGATGCTAAATACGTATATTAGTTTTTCCATAGAACTCTAGCTTGTGCTGGTTGTTAAATGGGATTTAGACTTAATGCAAATCAAACCTCACTCCTTTTTAATAAAAGCAACTGCATTAAAGCAATGTTGTTTGCAGCACTAACAATCTGAACACTTTTGAATATTTTTCAAATGTTATTAAGAAGTAGTAACTTTGACACCCTAACTTTTAGCACCCTAATGTGCTAAACTTGTTAGAGGATTTTTCACAGAAACGGTTACAGATTATATGCCCAACCGTAGCCAGAAGTAATGAATTGTTGCTAAAGAATGCAGAGAATGGTCCATCGGTCCTGACGTTCACTTTGTCACTTGCGTTGGTTCAGAGAGCAGCATGGCTGCTTTTACTAGACCTACCCTGCAACAATTTATCAGCCAGCTTGGGGAGCTACGTAACAACATGACTGGGAAACGCATGCTGAGCTGATCTATGTGCAGAATCTAGTAACTCCAAAAGACAAGACAACCTTTTCTGCAGGTATTACTATGCTGCAGTGGATGTGTTGGTAGCCTTATTATTGAATGTCATCTCCAATTAATGAATGATTAAAGGATAAATTCTTCCTTTTATTGATATAAAATAGATTAAAAAGGTAGCACCTTTTTTTTTAGTTGAGATATATACAACCAAAGTGTAAAGACACATAAACTTGATTTGGAGAACAGGCTGGATGCTCTTGTACACAGCACCCAAAACAACACAAGGCAAACAGCAAATGGTCATTATCCAAGCGTATTTTCCAGCTATTCTGTCTCTTCAGCCACTGCCTTCTTTTGTCTTCTCAGATAATTGCTTTCAAAGTCTAAATAAGCGAACCTCAATGTTCAAATATTCTGTAAAGCACTCCCCAAACCCCCAAGAAACCCTCGGCCTGCTGGGCCACCAGTGCCAGTCGAGGCGTTCGTAGATAAAAACGTAAGCAAGAGGCCAAGGCAGAACGCGGGGTGGGTGACACGCGTTTAGCAGT